CAGAAACCAAAATCGTTGAATCATATTTCTCCAAACTCTCTCTAAATAACCTATACTACTATATTTACACTGCAAACGATGACTTGAAAGATTTTTAAGTAAGGCCCGTATCCTTTCAGGAAAATTTCAGAAAGTTATTTTTGAAAAACAAAATTTGAAAAATTACTATAGCGTAATAAACAAAGGAAAATTTCTCAAATGAAATTTATTTGAGTAGACTTCTTCTAACTTTTCTAAATAAGAAAATAATTTTAAGTCAACAATAAAATGAATATTTTAAAATTGATACTTCAATTTTACTTTCGTTTTTTTAAAAAAGACATTTAAAACTTAAAACATAAAAATGAATTGAACTAACAGTGAGATAACGGCAAATGACTTTATGTGATAACGGTAAAAAATACTTATCATTATTATATCAGATTATTGTCTAGAGTGCGTTTACGTACGTACGTACGTAGCTTACAAATCCTGAACCACATACGGAGTATGACAATCTCTATATTCGGATGGCATGTAATACGTAGTACGTAAGAACCTATTCCGAATATCCTTTTTTTCTCTTTCATTTCATTCTTTCTAAATAAAAATTTTATTAGACAAAAATTAAAGATGCAAAGGCCTGAGAGAGCATGTAAATTTCTTATATATACAATAATTTTACTCATAAATTTTATCAAAGTATTAAAATTGTAAATGTCTTGATTTTTTTAGTGATTGAATTTTCAGAACAATTAGAAACGGATTTGAAAAAATATGGTATAAAAAGTTTTGACTACACTCAATATAAAGAACATGAAATTGTTGGAAGAGGAGGATGTGCAGTTGTATATTCTGCAGTTTTTGATAAAGAAAAGCACGCATTAAAAAGCTTAAATAATAATCTAAGTTTTGATGAAAAAGCATTAAGAAAAGTTAAACGAGAGGTATATATTATATTATCTAATACTTGTATTTAGATTCTTTAAAAATGACTCCCATATTATAATGTTATATTTGCACATAGCTTAAGGTTCACTATCAAGTTGATCATCCCAACGTTATAAAATTTTTTGGCATTTCAAGATGTACGATAAATGTTTTATTTAAAAAAAAATTCTTGACTTGATAATTCAAGAGAATATAAGGATTAACTGATCTATTCTCACGAATTGTCAATAAATTGTATCTTAAAAAACATAATTATAATTATATTATTTACTGTAGGTACACAAATGGGTAATTTTATGCTGGTATTAGAATTTGCTAGTGATGGTAACCTACGGGACTATTTGAAAAGTAAATATGTAAAAAAAGATGTCTATGAAATCTCATGGGTAGAACTTATAAAAATTGCCAAGGACATAACTAACGGATTAAAACATTTGCATGATAAAAATATTATTCACCGAGATTTGGTAAGTTTTTTTAATATCTAAAATAGATTTTAAATTAATTATAATTCTAAATATTTTTCATTATAAATCCTCTAGCATTCTAATAATATTTTAATAAATGAAGGTAGAGCTTTAATTGCAGATTTTGGAATATCGAAACAATTAAATGATACTACTGCATCAAGCTCAGTTATGATGGGTGTACCAGCATATATCGACCCACAATATCTTAAAAGTGGAAATAAACTAGATAAGAGATCGGATATTTATAGCCTAGGTGTATTGTTTTGGGAACTTACAAGTGGCATTCCACCCTTTCATAATATTCCTGAGATGGCTATTATATTAGAAATTTTGAATAATCGTAGAGAAAAGACTGTTGATAGTACACCCTCAATTTATTCGAATCTATATATTGAATGTTGGTCGTCAGAACCAGAACAACGTCCAGAATTAAATGAAATTCTAAAAGTACTTGAGGATTTGGAATCTGAAACAACCGTTGAATTCATTACAAATACTATTCATAAAAATAGTAAAAAATAACGCATAAATATCAGCTACTAGGTATAAAGTTAACTCTTACAATTTTATAATGATTCACTTTTTCTAACTAAACATGTACAATAGTAGATAAAAACAGAAAAATTTTCTAGAAGAAATTATCGTATCCTTCTTACTACATTGTTTAACAAAATTAGAAAAAATACTGCCGAAAATTCAAAATTTTATATATTTTTCATACTTGTTTACAAAAAGTAGTTTTATAATTCCAATTTTCAATTATAAAATCATTACTCGTATTAGTGACGTTTTAATTATTCTTGTTTTTAATAGAATTAAAAAATCTTTATATTATATTAAGTTTTATAAATTTAGTTTGGTTAAAGTTTATTTAGACAATTTAACTAAAATGTTATTTACAAAATCATTAAACATTTATATAACATTATTAATAAAATTTGCAACTTTACTTTGTTCTAAGCTCAAACTATAGGTTCTATACAAGATCAAATAGTGTTGAGAAATATAATTTCTTTTAAAATTAAGAATTTTCGAGAGTAATAGTAATATTAAAAAGAGGTGTAAATTCAATTTTGAGTGAATATAACCACTATTTCCATTGCTTGCTTCTTGTTTTTTTACAGTTTTTTCATTGCTGTTTGCAGTGTAAATATAGTAGTATAGGTTATTTAGAGAGAGTTTGGAGAAATATGATTCAACGATTTTGGTTTCTG